TCTTTGAGAGTCGAGACTTTGGTTGACTGGGTTTGCTACGCGGGAATCAAAGTTTGTATAAATTAAGACCATATAGCATCACATAGTTGAATTTCACAGACTGGATTGTTGTGAATGGACATTTTATATATCATTATACAATCTCTGATGCCAGAAAAGGTATTATACAGAAACGTGGTAAAAATACAAAGCCCGTCATACTCCCTACAGTTTCAAAGTTATTGTAGAGAGAGCCAATATCGTATTCTTGATAACAGGAGCGGTTACAACCTGATTTATTTTGACGAGTTCCTAACCACATGATTGACATTCCTTGATTTTATTACAACACAGCATCACCTTCAATGACCGCGGCGATTGTCGGCTAATTGACAGACATACATGCACGTTATTTGATTTTCTTACAACACAGGAAGACCTTCAATGACCGCGGAGATCGTGCGCTAATTGCAATATCATAACAGATTATGAACTATTCGGTCCCTATCCCTATCCTGCAAAAAAAACCGGGCGTTAAGCGATCTTTCATAAGATCTACTTGCATTTTCTAAATTACAGATGCATTAACACGCGATTGAACTCATATGAAACTGTTAACTTGGTCTAATATTTGCCAATCACTTCAGCACCACAAACTTTTCGTAGTTCATGGAAAGAATTCATGTAGCCATCACATCATTGTTCGTTTATGCATACGTTGCAAAATTTGGATTTCTACAGAATATTTAGACGATTTAAATGCACAGAGCCTCAGACGAACTTAAATTTAAGTTCATCCAGACGGATAATTCGTCTCACAAGTATAAACGGAAACAATTAAGGCGAACTCCGCCAAATTTCTTGGCATCCATGCACGTTTCAAAATAAACCACACTGTGAATGACCGAACTTAGCAAGCTAGGCTTGTCTACCTACGCCCGGCTCCGCGTTGACAAAGAAGCAAGTATATGTATTTGCAATTGCCCACGTATCTCGCCTGCCCAATTGCCCACGTATATTTTCAGTCAGGCATACGTAGGATGTAGTCATGTGTTTGTTGCTGCACTTTATATTACGCATTCAGGCTAAAATATCTATTATGATTATTGGCCCTTGTTCTGGGAGGTTGGTTAATTTTTATGTCACCAAAGAAAATTCTTGGAAAAGCCGTTGTGAAGACCTTATATGCTCCAAATAGCAAGCAAGTTATCGAAGAGGTTTGTATATCATGATATATATATCAGTTATCGCGCGTTTAATAACAAACTCTCGTGCATAAATCAAGTCTATAGGAACTGCTATAAAAATTCCCAATGTAACGTGTAAACTTTTATCTGGTCATAAATTACAAATTCGTTGTTTGTATGAAGTGTGTAGCAATTCAGTATCTTTTCCAAATCAGAATCATTTTGCGCGTTATACAAATAACAAATATATATATAAAACCCCCCTCCTGGTCTTAATGTTATAGTTATTAAAATCAGGTAGGGCTGGCTAACAATGAGATAATTAGCTCTATTATGTTGTTTTCGGGTAAATAAAAGGGGAAACCCCGAAATGACAACTTGCATGTTTGACCGATGAATCAGGGGGGTGCGAACTTTAATATTGTTTAGAGATGAATGAATTTTAGTTAGATTGGTGCCTCTAATGCCAACGAAGAATGGCATAAGAGATTTTAGCCAAACAACCTTGAAACAAACGCAAGAGTGGGCACTCAAGATTAACACATTCCACTCACATTCACACTCATATTTCACATTCTAGGCTTTGCAATTGACACGCTTTGAACCGATTGTCTGCTCCCTTGCTGTCTCATGCCCATAAGAGACATCACAGCACAAAATATAAAGCTAGTCAGCTAGATTTTTAACGAGATGAGAAACGCGATTTACTTTTTAAGAAGACAATTTTAAGAAATAGCACAGGAAAGTCCATATTCTATGTATATCATATGTATTTTTCATGTGTAAATGATCATGCATTTAGACACACTTCCAAAATGATCATTTTTACCTTGCTTCTATGGCAAGTCGTATCAATTGCTTGTGGCGAACAAAGGAAGTTGGACGAGACAGAAAGGGATTTTTCGAAGAATTTTATGGAGATGAAAAAAGTTGCTGAAGATTGCCAGGGGTTGGCCGACGAGATGAGAAACGCAAAAGAGAGCGAATACGAGACATATTTGGCCATTGCTGCTTCTGCGGTCTTACCTGTTGTTGTTCTCTATGTCTGTTATCTTAAAAGAAGTTTAAAAGAAGCGACTTCAGAACGTGATAGATTACGAGAAGAACTGTCTGAAAAAGAACTGTCCATAAGAGAACTGTTTCATAACATTCAAGAAACAATTTATTGAATTCAATCATAATAGTTCGGTAAAACACACAAGTACCACTTGAAAGTATAACTCCAATATATAGTAGCTATATCTTTGCATGCATGGAAGGTCAGGTCATCAAAACAAGCGTGGTTTAAATCATAACAAAAGCATAATTCGTCTTACGGATACTACAGTGTGTATCGAAAAAATTCGAATCCAACTTTGACAGCCTGCTGTGCATAAAATACTAAAGTAAACGATATAATTTTTATGTGGCAACAAAGATTAGCTTATTTAGTTTGCGATTATACCGCATTGTGTTCTTCAAACTTCTATCGTTGAACATTGAATAAGCAGAATTTTTGCGATAAATTTGCGTTTTAGTTTTCAGTAATAATTAGATTTTGGTCTAATTTTCAATAAAACAAACCTCTTTGGGTCTAATTTTCAATAAAACTGATCTTTATGAGCTTTTTTTGTCGAACCAGTACTTCTTCATTTTTCAACTAAATTACACGTACAACGTGTCATTCGAAAGAGAAATAAATGAACTTAACAATGGTGTAAAAATCAACCAAATTTGTCAAATATATTTTGCATTATTACACGCAAAATTTCGATTCAAATTTTTTTGATACACCCTGTATATGCTATTTGTATGTAACAATAACATTAACAAATTATACGGCATTTGCAATTTTTTATAGTAGACTTTTATATATATAAGCTATATAATAAGATAAGACCTGCGTAAGCGTAAATAGTCTATCCCATGGTATCAAGTTGGTAGTAAGTATTTAAAATACATCGATTATACTTATATAAGCTTTAAACAGCTTTTTTTAATGTAATTTAAATAGCTTTTTTTAATAGTTTATCTGCACTAAAGAGTAAAGACCATGATCGATAAACCGGCTTTGATAGACTTTTGGATTTTTTTCTATGAAGATATAATGACATGCTACAGTTATTTTTTCAAATTACAGCCATTTTCAGTTACCATCTATCTCACTATGGACAATAATTCTTTATAGTTTTCAGTCGGTTTAATAATTATTATCTTTCGGCGTGTTAATCAGGGGCGCACCGGTTAGCTACAACAATAATTCTATGACTTTGAGCAAGAGGCATTATACTGTAGCTATAATCTTTTGTTATTGTGTATTCTTTCTTTTATGCTATTACTGTGGTATAAAAAATTAATATAGACTTATGAGCGATCTTTCATTTATGAATATATGTATAATTTACGTTGACTCCGTGTTTTCCAAACATTTATACTCCGTGTTTTCCATGTTTTTGGCAGACTACGCGTCTTTTCCATAATTTTTGACTCCGTGTTTTCCAATATTATTACGTCAGACTCCGTAATCGGAACCCCGTCTTCGTGTTATCCAAGTTGTGATGTGGCAACGTTGAATCAAAGCTAGATATTTGTTTCACCCGCTCCTCGTGTTGCAAAATAAAGTCATCCTATTGGCTTGAACACTCCCGGCCTGACAGCTCAACATTGCTTCTGATTGGACGAGCATAGTAATTTGAATAATATGATTAATTTTTTCCTTTCATTTCTGATGTTCAGGCTCAGGAGAAGAGAATTAATCATATTATTTAAATTACTATGAACGTCCAATCAAAAGCGTCGTTGAGCTGTCAGGTCGGGAGTGTTCATCCAATAGGATGACTTTATTTTGCAGGCACGAGGAGCGGGTGAAATGAATAATATGTGCTTTTGATTCCAGTTTGAGACATCATTTCAGCGCTGGTCTTCGAAGAATAAAAATGAGTCTCCTCCATGCCAAGAAAATTTCAACAGAAATTGCTATCAGATTGCTATCAGATTGCTATCGTCTTCAGCAGAAGAGAAGTTTAATAGAAGTTTACTATCTTTGACAGACTGTCGTTGGCGTAATACCAGGTAATATGCCTTTCCCTTTGCGTGTTTTATCAGCTTGTTTCATCGTGAGCTTTTGGGCTGAGGTTCCACGTGTCTTTAGTTCACGTCTTGTAATGCCTCTCTCGTGTTGTGTTCAGCTTCAAATACAAACTTGTATAGCACTAACGTAGCTTTTATTCTTTTCATGCAGAATTTTGACGTATTAAAGCGAAGTTAAACGATGAAATTTGTGAACAAGAGATTGACGACCGATGAATTGTGGCTGAACTGGCTCAAGATGACTCACCTTTGAAGAGAAAGCAAGTCTAGGCTTTTTCTGGGGAATACTGATGATATGAGAAAGGTAATATACGTCAAATCTACCGTTGAGCCGCTAACCTTCCCTCTAACCACACGAAAATTACGTTTGAATTGAGTTCTAAAGACCTAAGCAGTGAACCAATGGTGCCTTTTATTCTTCCAGGTGGAGTTTGAGAGTTTAAAACCAAACTGAATGAAGTGAAGTGGGCAAAAAGTCCGTTACCGTAGCTGAAATCGCCCGAGACGACTCGCATTGGACTCAAGATAACTCGCCTTTGAAGAGAAAGCACGTCTACGCATTTTCTTGGGACTTGTTGATGATATGAGAAAGGTAATATACGCTAAATCGTATGTGAGCCGCTAACCTTTGCTCCAACCGCAAGCAATTACCTTTGAATTGAGTTATAAAGACCAAACCAGTAAACTGACATTGCCTTTTGTTCTTCCAGGTGGAGTTTAAAAGCTAAAACCAAACCTAATACAGAAATGAGCCGGGAAAGAAAACCCATAGCTGAAATTCCCCGAGATGACTCGCATTTAAAGAGACGGCAAGTCCAAAGCTGCTCTTCAACACTTGTTGCTGAAATGAACAGGTAATTTTAAGTCTATTTTATTCAAGTAGGATGATAAACTTGAAACGCTTGATCAGGCATCACGCGTTCTCTCAACTGAATGATCACTGCAAGTTTTCTCCCGATATTTAAGCTCCCTTCATCGAAGGTGAATCCTTGAAATCGCTGTCTATAACAAGCATTCTTTTGGTTTTATTGCAGGTAGCGATTTAGCGGGTCAAGCCATTTGAAACAACGACAAAACCTGTTCATAATAAAACGTGAGTATTAAGCAATTGAACATTTTTAGATAAACCGAACAATGGGGAGTTTATGCATGATTCAGGTCAAGAACGACAACGGCCGCATGATCATTTGATATGAATAATGGCAAGGAAATACTTGAAATCCCAGAGGGGTTTTATAGATGTTGTTTACAATCCCGATTTTACGCGTGTTTCTTCTCAATAAAAAACGTAGTTTGCTTATTTCTTTAATCTTATTTCAGGTTGATGGGCTCTGTTAAGCTATTACCGACAAGCCAAATCGACGGCAAATCTACGTCTAAAGTAGGCAATCTCGACGGCAAATCTACGCCTAATGTAGGGACCAACTCGACGGCAAATCTACGCCTAATGTAGGCCAACTCGACGGCAAATCTACGCCTAATGTAGGCAACTTCGACGGCAAATCTACGCCTAATGTAGGCAACATCGACGGTAAATCTACGCCTAATGTAGGCAACCTCGACGGCAAATCTACGCCTAATGTAGGCCAACTCAACGGCAAATCTACGCCTAATGTAGGCCAACTCGACGCCTAATATACGCCAAAACTACGCCAAATCGACGCCAAAAAGCAACGTTCAGCGATGCCCGGGCATCGTTACAGGTTAGAGTAGCCTGGTGGTCAAAAAATGTGCATGCAGGGGTTAGTCTGTGCATGATTAACTTAACGAAGTTAACTAATTTAGTTAACGAACTTAAGTTAAATAAAGTTTTAAATTCAGTTAACTAAGTTCTGGCCACCAGGAACATAGCTAATGCATGATGCATGTGAGCAAACGTTTCTTAAATTCGGTTAAATATTTTAATCGGTTTTGCGCTTAGGACTGCTCGCTTTTGCTTAGGGCTGCGCTAAGGTTTAGGTTGATAATTTGTCTGTTAAAACTGAAAACATATCACAACTGTTATATATACCCATATTTCACCTAAGAAATGGCTAAAAAGCCATGCACACTAACACAAACCATAGCCACAAATGGCAGACATAATCCCATAGGTTCTTTCCTCTTTCTCTATATTGTCCTGATTGAAATCATCTTCGGCTCTTGAAATCCGGGCAATTGCGGCTTTCGGAATTAACATTGTAAAATGATAACTATAGGGTCACTATTCGGTCTGGTTGTAAAATTATTTGTATGTAAATACGTTTTTGATTTCTCAGCAAACATTGTAAATATACGATTATATCTTGCCTTTCTATATTTTGTAATTGAACATATAATATTGTGTATGTATTTACGAAAAAACATGATTTACATCAAAATATGAACAGATACAAAACATCATGCACTATACCTCATGATCTTGTAGCTGCACATAAAATAGACACGCACACGAGTAAATACATTGATGCAAACCATGGCCTATATAATGGCTTCTAGTTTATATCTTTCTTATCTCTTGCATTCACTTAAGGCTACAATTAATATTCAAGCCTGCAGAAACATTGATTTTACGGCATGTCTTATACTGTCTTGCTATATTCTGAAATACATGAATTTATGCAATCAAAGTTAACACACACATGCTCTCAATTAATGAATTTGAATTTACTTGAAGAAATAAGGATGGATGGGGGGTGGGTGCATGCTGTTACTTGAAACATATATATGCCTTATTTCTACTATGTTAGAAACCAATTACGAGACAAACATTGGCAGTGGCATTGTAACTTTATTATTTTTCCAAGGTCTCTGTGAGATTTCCAATCATTTAGCTTCGTCGAGCAGTGCTTATGAAAAGTAAGGCGCCACTTTTTGTCTGTACTGCTTGACTTTGCTATGTGGTTCGAAGTGTTAGCAGGTATCTTGGGATATCTAATAACGTTGCAGTGTTATTTTCATTGCTGTTTCTTTAAGAGCAGCTTGCTTTGGCTATATGCCTTAGCTCTAAAAGTTATTAAACCAGATTTTCAAAGAAAAAAATGTACTCCTGCGGCTGTTTCTATAAGAGCAGCTTGCTTTGGCTATATGCCTTGGCTTTGAAAGTATTAGTCCAGTTTCTCTGAAAAAAAAAATTGTACTCTTGGTGCTGTTTCTATAAGGGCAGCTTGCTTTGGGAATATCCCTTGCATGGTTCAAAAAATGTTGACTGAATTTTCGGAAGAAAAAAAATATTTACACTTGATGCTGCACTTGGTTTCGACAGTTTTTTGCTTTGGCTATAAGCCTCAGCCTCGAAAATATAAAGTCAATTTCTTGTATTTTTTTCGAAACCTTGTTTCTACAAGGGCAGCATGCTCTGGTTATATGCCTCAGCTCAAATGTGCAATGAAGTTTTTAAGGACAATTGTGTATGCCTTGATGCTGTTTCTATAAGTGCTCATGAAATATCTTCAAGTTAACTCGATCCTCTAAATATGTGTGCACAGTTCGACAGCTTAAAACGAAACTATTAGGAACACTGCCTATGATTTGTCAGCAGAATAATTTTAGTTTTTGGACGAACGTAACTTGAATCTAAGCGCTCTGAACTCAGGCATTTTTATGTATTACTATATTTTAGTTCGTCGATCTCATAAGCTTTACTCAGCTCTCTACTAGAGTTAGTGGGTTAAGTCTATAATAGAACAAAAAAAATACACGATAACTTAGAAACACTTACTCACATTAATGCATGTTTTACTGATCAGTCTTAAACATTACTCAAACACAATAGCACACTGTAAAAAGACATAGACAATTTATACTAAAGTATGCCAAATTAGCATTTAACCTGCACTGTTCTATAAATTTAAATGTCATGATCTTAAACGCACCTACTTTTTAACCGGTATAATAGTTTAATGTCTTCGTATATTAATGATGTACTATGTATAGAAAACACACACGCTTTGTAATACATGTTTAGTGAAGTATTAATAAAAATAGGACCAAAATTGTCCGTCTCCTCTCTCTTGATTTCAATATCTTTAACACACACACACTTTGTTGTAATACATGACTTTGTTTTAATAAAATCTCAAACTTGTGTACTTTGTGTTTAATTCCGGCTTTCGGTGAGGGTTTTTCTCCAGGCACTCTGGTTTCCCTCGTAAGAAAACAGTGTCCGTGTGTTCGGAACCGTGTTTACGGTTGGTTTTACATTTCTGTTGACAATTTATATCCGCATAATTGGTATGTCTCGTTATACTCGATAAAAAGTTTAGAATATTTTCGCAACCCAGTAGACTTTGTCTGACGTAAAACGCCCTCAGAATAGAAAACATAATGGTTTAATGGAAGCTGACTTGTACACACGGTTACTGGGTTCAATTCCCGGAACACTGTTCTTTGTCGCGATGAACCTCCTGTTCTTCAATTAAAGCATGCAAAAGCTTCGTCTTTAGACTATAATTTCACTTGACGAGTTGTTGATGAGCACTTTACTGATTTTGAAAGACGTGATACAGCCAAATTGAAATGCAATACTTCCTCATCCTGGTGCTTATAAAAGAACGACCACATTCGCCAGATACGTGACTTTAAACGTGGAATAAGTGTTTTTCAAGACTTCAAGATGTTCTCTTAATCACCACCTCATTCGTATCATTTGGCTAATTCTCAAGATTAAGACGAGATAGTTGAATATCAATGAGAACGAAGAGACAATCCGATTGGCTGTAAAGTGATGCTGAAGATTCCTTGGCGACAAAATGATGCGATCTTGTTAAATCCTTACCTTACCTCCTGCACCTACTGTGAGGGGTTTCCTTCTAGAATCTAGAACCAGCGCATGATGCACTGAGATTACATTTTAACTTAATTAAATAAATATTCTTTTTAGTCCGTTTTGTCAGATCAAATTTTGTCTTTATTTACGTTGTCAACTATGACCGCAGTGATTATTTAAACTGATGATATTTGTACTGGTATATGGCATCTTATTTTATGTTCACGATCTTTGTTGCTGCCATGCTAGTCTTCCTGGGGCCGGTTGTTCGAAAGGCGTTTAGCTTAAACGGCGGATAAGCCAAAGTTTAAAAATCCTCTCATACATCTTGTGAATGACTGAGGCTGCATTTCATGCATTAAATATGTACTTTCATTGAAAATTAAGCTATTTACATCGAAATATTTCTGCTAATTTGTCCAATAAAGACATGATTTTGTTTTCCATTTCGAACTTATCCACCGTTTAGGCTAAACGCCTTTCGAACAACCGGCCCCTGGACGAAATCTGTCTGCTGTCATGCAGCCCAAGTTAATTCTGAAGAGTTTAGGATATCATGGTACAATAACACAGACCTTTCAACACAACATGCTGTGTTTTATTAGTGTAAGATAAGTTCGAGACGTGAGAAGTGTTTGTCTACATAGTGTAAGAGTGTCGTAAACTCGCCTCCAAATCAGTATTTACATCAGCAAATGATACCGTTTTCTATAAAACAAGAACAAATAAGACCGCGCTGAAATAGCGTCTAAAAAACATGATTATATTTAGCGACGCGACTCGTAATTTCTCTGAAAACTCTCTTGTATATTTCAGTATTGCAACTGCCAACTCCAGAGGTAATATATATAATAAGATGTTGAAGCCAATTAACACATGCATGAATACAAATATACAAAGATTTCACCACGCGCACAAGTAGGTACTTGTCACTCAAGTACAATATGAGGACACTCAGTGATGTTTGACTTTGTGCTATTTCCTTGATATCATTATTATGATTATATTATTTTTATTGAAATACAAAGACACTATGGGTTCGCTTGATTCACATAATCTAAATTGTGAACTGTCAAGAGAACTCTGATGTGAGCTTGTTCGGTTCCGAGAGTAAAAGAGTATAATATATTATTCATTTTATATATTTTATTTCCGCATGTCTTGTGATATTTTTTGATTTCCTGCAATCTCTCAACCCGAAGTTAAATATGCAAACTAAAGCTTCGTTTACGTCACGCTTAATTTATCGGCACGGCACCGTTTAAAATTGTACCCGCACCAATTTCATCAACGCTCAGCCTTCGTTTCCGTAGTCTGAACACTAATAAAACTGGGCACTGTACCAATTTAAGGCCGTGCATATGCCGTGCCAGTAAATCGACTGTAGTGTAAATGGGGCTTAAGCCTATACCTTCAACTATACGCAGGGTGCTAATATTCTAAATCAAAGACTTATTGCCGTCTCGGTCAGAAGTTTTTGATTATTAGAAGGTTCTGATTAATAAAGGAGGAATTTATTGTGTAACTTCTTCCTGTTGTTGTTTTCCTGAATTCGATTCGGTCTATTGGCAAGGATACAAATTTTATTCATTTGTGTCGTAAGAATATGTACAGCGGCCGCCTGTATAAGCAGGAATAAAATGAGTTCA